AGAACTTTTCGTAACCTGAAAGTTTGAATTTTCAAAAACCTTTGGTACATCTATACCACTTTCCATTAGTGACTCTCATTTCAGATTTCTAGCTCATTCCGTTTGTTGAATACAATGTGTAAAATTGTTAGTACATTTTAGTACTTGATACACGCATACGCACCAAGACTGACCCTCGTGCAAAATTTCAAGATTCTAGCTTCAGCCGTTTCGTAGATTCTCAGTCAGTCAGTGATTTAATTATTTCACTACTCTTCTATATATATATATAGATGATTTTTATAATTTTTAGAAGTTTGTACTCTTTGTCGAGAAGGTACCTACATTAAAATCCAATAACGACAAAATGGCAAAATCTAAACACAAATATTTAAAATGTGTCCTTTCTATCTCACACTCCCTGAAACCAGGACACCAAGAGTCAGAGACCATTCAATATTTATTGCACACACAATTCCCAACCAAGTCAGCTGTAATATGATGTTTCGGGCACCCATTGGTTAGATTATCTCTTCTCAAAAAAAGTTCTAAATTGGTCCAAAATTTGTACCGCCCATATAATGGGTATAGATATTCTATATTTTGACAATTTTAGCCACATTTTTCAACGCAATTGCTTAACATTTAGCTTTTAGATGAGTTCTATGCGTTTTTCTATAGGCTCCATTTAACGCTACCTCAAGATATTCACTATGTGATATTAGCCTCATTTCCTAACGGATTTGTTTAGTTCAGTATTTGGAGTTTGTTATATTTTCGATTACATATCACAGATATTTATGTGTGAGATAATAAAAAAAAGATATGGAAACTTTCCTGTCATTGATATGGTATTTAATATAAAAAAGTAAGCAAAGGCTACAGTCGAGTGGGGCCGACCGTTGAATACCCTACAACACTATAATAAACCATACAGTTTATATAGGCGAGATACTCGAAAGAACTCCACAAGATATTGTGACAAATAATAAAAGAAAACCATCATGTTTCGTTCTCTAATTTTCGGATAATAGCAACTTAAACGAATTTGCTCATTTCCAATTTATTGGTAGATGTCGCTGGAATAGACATTTTCGTATTTAGTCTACAAAAGTTGGCAAACTATTGCACACATTGAATATTTTTGGATGGCCATCCAAATGTGCGTGAGGATAGGGCGATAATTACGACCTGCTGGCAATTTGGCAGTTTTTTGGTCCATTTCAACCCCTAAATATATAGCGATCATCTCCAAAAAGAGTAGGCAACTATCCTGACCCTCATCTTATCCACATGAAAAATTTGGTAAGGATCGGGCCATAAATGCGATCTGTATATGATATCCTGATATCCTAACTACTTAGTTTTGTTAGCTGTAGAAGTATTACCAAATGTTTAATTCAAAATGAAAATATGCCAAAAATGTGACAAAATTGAAAAAATATGAGAAAATTATTATTATTATATATTATTATAATTAATAGTGCAGATTGATATGAGATTTTATACATTCAGACGCGCTGTGGTATGTTTCGAAAAATATAAAACTTTTTAAAGAAACACATTTTCACTTCCATTTTTTAATGTTAACCTCAATTTAATAGCAATCAAAATTACAACCATAATAATTTTCTATGCAAATGATTTTGTAATTTAGACATCACAATTTAATTCTGTACAAACTTACATAACAAATATGCAATCTGGCTGGCTGGCAGCCTGGCATGCAGGCGTGCATGCATTTATGCCACTGTTACAGCCCACTAGCCTAGCCAATTTGAAAATGTTACCACCGCCCCAATCTTCTTCCGTCATACCAGGAAGAATGCTAATACTGTTGCAGGTTATGTGCTGTGCTGCTGCCACCATTATCAACCAATCCAAAGCCACTCGTCGTTCCATACTTCATCCCGCAATTCGCATCCACTTGAAAAAAAAATATAATGTTTGCGTTGGCAGTAGGAGCTTTTGATTCCACATCAGGTTACAAACGCGAAATTGCATCTCTAATAAGCCTTGTAAATATTTATGTATGAGCATTTTATTTTTGTTAACATATTCTCTGGCTTTTCATTGGCATGCTGCGGGTTGGAGGGTGGGATAGTGGGAAAAATATTCCACATGACATCATTTCAATCCTTCATAATATTTTCAACACACGTTGGCTGGATGTTTATGAATTCGACCCATAATCCATGTGAAAATATGATGCTGAGGCCAAGAGTCAAGTTGTCTCCCTTCCTAAAATTGGCATTGACAGAAAAACGATGATGATGTCGTTGTTGTAATTGTTGCCTAAAACTTACAACCAACCTACCATCATGCAATATCTCATATATTTCCATAACTTTCCCATATAAATCATTTTCACACATCATTTACGGAAATGCTGCGCTGTGAAAAGTTTTCTCCTTTCCATTCCACGGGTGGCGGTGGTGGTGGCGTTGTCAAAAAATTGAATTCCGTGTGCATATGAATGCACATTAACATGGCTTTTTGTTAGTGTACCAAGATATCACCGGTAATTGGAATATGGCAGGAAATATTGTATGGTCTCTGACAAATGCTCTTGGCATCGTGATTTCAATGGGTGTTGCTGCTGCTGCTGCCGCTCAAGATAGGAAGGATACATTTTAAATATTTGTGATTAGATTTGGTTGTCAAGGACAGCACCGTTATTAGTTTTAATGTAGCCTTATTCGTTCGAGAGGATAATGAATATGTATTAGGAGGAAATTGACAATTTTCACTTTTTATTAAAAATTAATGCTAATAAGTTAGGTTAGTTGGAAAATAGGCAAGATTATCATAATGATATACTATAATAAGATTGAAAGCGTGATTGATATATATCCCGGGTCTGTGACAATTTTCTGGTAGTGAAATAACGGAGTGACTGAGAATCAACGCCCGGACGAAACGGCTGAATCTTGAATCTTTTCTTTGGAATCTTGAAATTTTGCACGAAGTTCGGTCTTGGTACGTAGGTGTGTGATAAGGCCGGGCTTTTGGAAATTCGTACTAAAAGGGTACAAATAGTTAGAATGAAATTTGGTTTTAGAGTCACTGGTGGAGTTCAGGAAAATGTACCAAAGAGTTTTTTGGAAATTTGAAATTTAAGGTTACCAAAAGTTCTAAAATTGTACTAAAATTCTAAATTGGTACAGATAGAGCTAAAAACTAAAATTTGTTATGAGGCTCAAAGTTGGAAAGTAAATTTAATATATGAAGTTGGTTTGGGTATGTGTACTAAGTGTACTAAATGGTACTAAATTCCGAATAGTTTGATTTAGGCTGAACGGATGAAGCTGGAATTTTAAAATTTTGTATGGCAGCCCTATAGGTGGAACGTTTGTGATAATGAGGTGATTTTGAAAATGTATGCTACATGCGCACGAAAAGTACTAAATAGTACGATATTTGGTACAATTTGGTATTGAGAGAACAGATTGCGTTTGAGATCTGAAATTTGGTGTTAGGTTGAAATTATTACCTGGTATTAAGATCTAGAGTTGGTTTTGTAAATGCGTACTAAGTTGTTCGAAAACTAATAAATGGTGCTAAATTTTACTAAATGGTATTGGATGAAGGTATGGGACTGTTATCCTCAAATTTAATATAGATTTCACTGTCTTTGTCTCTGGTTTAGATATGGAAGTGGTTTTGGAAATGTGTCTTATAATTGTACAAAAAGTACTAAATTGTACTAAATTTGGTCTTGGTTGAAGGGATAGAGATAAAATTCTGAAATTTGATATTTAGATAATTATCTGAGGTTTTGATTTGAGGTGGTTTTGAAAACGTGTACTAAATTGAACTACATTTGGTGTTGGGTGAATGGGTAGGGCTGGGATCCTCAAATTTGCTATAGATGTCACTGTTAGTGTCTGTTGTTAAGATATGAAAGTTGTATTGGAGATGTGTACAATAATTGTTCGAAAAATACTAAGTGGTACTATATTGGGTATTGAGTGAATGTATAGAGCTAGAGTCCCGAAATTTGATATTCAGGTATCTGGGATTGAGATATGGAGTTGGTTTTGGAAATATGTGCTAGATTGTACGAAAAGTACCGAAATTGGTATTGGGTGAAGGGATAGAGCTCGAATCATGAGATTTGGTATCGACGTCATTGTTGGTGTCTGTGGTTGAGATGTCATTTTTGGTATCTATGTTCGATATTTGGCGGTTGTTTGGAAATGCGTCCCATATTTGTTCGAAAGGTAATAAACGGTACTAATTTTGGATCACTGTTGGAGACAAAGATGAAGAGATGTAGATTGTTTTGGATATGCGTACTAAATGTTTCTAAATTTAGTATTAGGCATAAAGCTGAAGTTCTAAAATTTGCGTATGTTTCTAGGGTTTGCAAATAGAGACGTTGAAATTGTTTTGGCCAGAAAAATTGGATGTGAGTCCATTATGCAATGGTTTTACAAATATCCTACTCGACTAACTTCAAAATAAAAGATTTTGAATAATATTTGGTGTAAAAGGCAATGTATGAAGTCTAAATAAATTTGAGTACCAGAAAAGACTAACGCAAACTGTTGGAACGATCCTAATTTTTAAGGTGTACTTTTCGCTGACGAAGTAGTGGGCACTTGCTAATAGATTTAGATAGAAATATTTTTTTAAATCTCTCTGCTCTTGACCAGTAAGTACTTGTAAAAAAATCCACGATAGTCTCTAAAAGTAAATTCGTGGAAAAAGTTTGACAAACTAAAATTGAACGAAATCTAGTTAACCATTGTCGTACTTCGGAAAAAAGTCGGATGTAAAAAAGTTTGGGAAAATCAGGGATTTTTTTTAAATTTTGGATTTTGTGGAGGTGATACCAGGTTATGAAAAAGCAACATCAAGATTATTTCTTACCTATTTTCCCTATACGTCCTCTTTATATACAAGCGTCTAATGAATTTCTGAATAAATAAAATGGAAAGTACATTTTTTAATTTATTTCAATATATAATCAACTTCGATTTTAATTCCAAAATTGTTGGTTTTGTTTTTCATTTCAGCTGTACAATTGTTTTATTTAATGCCAAAAGACAGACACAGGCCTATTTGGTCAACACATCCCGCAAAGCATTCACATCGGTGGCATTCTCACGATGTGGTCGCTATGTGGCCACCGGAGAATGTGGCATGAATCCGGCCATAAAAGTATGGGAACTTGAAGCGCCCAATGGTAATTTGGAACATTGTACCGGTGGCAATGTGGTGGCCGAATTTGTCGATCACAAATATGCCGTAACTTGTGTGGTAAGTTTTTGCATCTTCATTTATGATTCTTTTATAACCCTTCTTCTTATCCACATTTCTTTTGCAGGCCTTTTCACCGACTGGTAAATTTTTGGTATCGGTTGGTTCACAGCATGACATGATTGTCAATGTATTCGATTGGAAATCCAATCTCAAAATGGCCTCGAATAAAATTAGTTCTAAGGTCTCGGCAGTGAGTTTTGCCGAAGATGGCAGTTACTTTGTTACCGTCGGTAATCGTCACGTCAAATATTGGTATTTGGAGGGTGGACGCAAATACAAGGACCCTGTCCCCTTGATGGGTCGCAGTGCCATATTGGGTGATTTGCGTGACAATGATTTTTGTGCCGTTGCCTGTGGCAAGGGCGCCTGTGCCGAAAGTACTTACGCCATCACAAGACAGGGTCATTTGGTGGAGTTCAGTTCGAGGCGTCTGCTCGAGAAATGGGTACAGTGTCGCACCACCAATGCCAATTGCATCAGTGTGACCGGCCAATTCATTTTGGTTGGATGTGCTGAGGCGATTATCCGAATATTCAATGCCAGTACATTGGAATATGTAACCACTTTGCCAAGAACCCACTATTTGGGTGTGGATGTAGCTCAGGGTATACATATCAATCATATAATGACAGTACCACCGCAGGCCAAATATCCAGATTGTATTGCCATGGCATATGATGAGCAAAGATCAAAGGTAAGTTGCACACAGAGAGATCCCAAGTGGACCTTATAACTAATTGTTTTTGTATTTTCCATAGGTAACCTGCATCTACAATGACCATTCCCTCTACATTTGGGACATGCGAGATATAAAACGTGTGGGCAAATCACATTCCTTCCTCTATCACTCCACCTGTATTTGGGGTGTTGAAACTGTGCCATATAACATGGAACGTGAACTCTCCCACACTCTGCCCGAAGATTCATTTGTTACCTGTTCTTCCGATGACACCATACGTGTCTGGGGTCTGGAGGGTTGTGCCAATAATGAAATCTATCGCAAAAATATCTACTCCAAGGAGCTGCTTAAGGTCGTATACATCGACGATGATCTGAATTACATAAAAGATTTGGAGATTGTCGGTGACAAGGGCGGCGCGTCCAGCAATTCCAATTACGATGGACGCAATGGCGTTCGTTGTATTAAAATAAGTCCAGAACTAGAGCATTTAGCCAGTGGTGACCGTAGTGGCAATATACGCATTTATAATTTAAATAATTTAAAACTGATAACCGCAATAGAGGCTCATGAATCGGAGGTCTTGTGTTTAGAGTATTCCAATGAGAAAATCGATCGCAAGCTATTGGCCAGTGCAAGTCGTGATCGTCTGATACACGTTTTTGATGTGGCCCAAGACTATAAGCTGCTGCAAACCTTGGACGACCATTCGTCGTCCATAACTTCGATCAAATTTGTGGGAGCTGGTCTTAATTTCCAGATGATATCATGTGGTGCTGACAAATCGATAATGTTTAGAACCTTTCAGGTGAGATTGATCGCAAACCTTTATAATAAACTCTGTAATGATGGAATACTTTCTTTTAGGGCAATATATTCTTACGTGGTACTCACACATCGGGCAAGACAACTCTCTACGACATGGAAGTGGACTCGAATGCCAAACACATACTCACCGCCTGCCAGGATCGTAATATACGCGTGTACGGCACACAGAATTCCAAGCATACGAAAACCTTCAAGGGTTCACATTCCGATGAGGGTAGTCTTATTAAACTTAGTCTGGACCCCAGTGGTATTTACGTGGCCACATCGTGTACGGATAAAACTTTGGCCGTTTATGATTATTATTCGAATGAATGTATGGCCCGCATGTACGGTCACAGTGAATTGGTAACTGGTTTGAAATTCACCAACGATTGTCGCCACCTAATATCGGCCAGTGGTGATGGTTGTATCTTCATTTGGCAAGTTCCACATGATATGATTGTAACAATGCAGGCCAGACTATCGCAGCAACGATTGCGATCAGGCCATGCACCCATACCCAGATCAATTTCACAAGCTTTAATTGCTCCCGAAGGAATTATTGTAGAATCACCCACCCCTGATCTGCACGATGATCATAAATTTGCTATGTCTCCGAATATATTGCAGGGTGAGGTACCCTTAACGCCAGGCTATAAACTTTCCGATGTGGGACAATTGCCACAATGGGCCAAGAGAAAGGCTGGAGTATCAGCTCTGGCCAATGAACCTGAGTCATCGGCAATGAATATACCCTCAGCTGCTAATCCAACATCTATGAACAATTTGAGTTCATCACCAAGTCAGGTGGGTGGTGTGGCGCCTAGACCACGAAATCGCTGGGCCCAGCGTGGACAAATTGATGCCGATACCTTAACTGATATACGATCAAATTCAGAAAGTCCTTTGGGTAGTGTGTCAACTACATCTGGCATTGCACCGGCCATGCATCACCCTGGCTTTGGCAATACTCAGACATCGGACTACAACAGTGCTTCGTCTAAGGACATTATGTACAATCAAACATATTTGAGTGAAGATTCGTCCATTGATTCCGGCATGGAAACCCGAAGGGAATTGAAATTTATCGGTAGCAATAATGCTGGTACAGTACCCACCATTTCTGTGCCGGGAGCAGGGCCAAGCCGAGTCGGAGCATCGTCAACATCCGGCACATTATCCGTTGAACGCAAACCGGGTTTGCGATTTGACACTATATCCAACAATGACCATGACGGTGACATTGAGGATATATCGGATGGTGAGAGAACGAGCTCGGATCATGGCATGTTCTATAACAACATATCACCCAGTACACCAACGTAAGAAAGGATACTTATGTATTTTGGATTTATACTTAACGGTTTTTTATTGTTTACCTTCAGAGATTTTAAGGTCAATGCCATGAATGAAGAAGAACTACGAAAGTCGGTACGTCGTCAAAAATTTGAGAAGGCTGGCCTCACCCTTAGCGGCAATGGTTCACACACGGCCAGTACAGGCACCGGTACCGGCACCTCTGATACCGAAGATGAAGGATCAACACCCAGTGCCGAAAATGCTGATCGCTCTTTGGCCTCAACATTGGGTGGTAGTTCCGAAAGTATACCCCAAGCATCGTCCAGTTTTCTTCAAGCAGCTTTACCCGACGGACCTGGTAATTTGCTCGAAAGAGGCAGTACTAGTAAGATTTATGTTTTTTGTTTTGTCCTTTTTATGTTATAGAAGACAATTTGTTTATTACAAGAAACGAATTAACCAAAATGTTTATTGGTGTTGTGATTTTTGTTGCAGATCGTCGCAGCATAAGTGCCAAACATAATACCGAAAACGGTAAACCTGGTGTTTCCGCCCCGCCTACCATAACCAAATCGTACACCAGTACAAAGAAGGAGGAACTGTTGAAAGTCATAAATGAAGCTAAGCAAAAATTAGATAATGTAAGTTTTTGAAATATTTAATAGTTGGTCATTTTTTATTTTTGTTTTGTTTTGATTTTCCCTTTTTTATTTTTTTGAATACTTTTATCTCCATATATATTTTTTTTATTTGGTTCATGACATACACACTTTATATATATGTATAATCGTATGTGTATAGGGTGCACGCAAAAATGGTGTTAAAAAGTTAACTGCCATACCAGAGGTGAGCACTACTGTTTCGGTAAAGTAGCAAATATACATATTTGCATTTCTATTAGTTATTTTTCCAAATTCTAATTCCATCTGCAGATTTCAGCTTCATAAAATAAAACTAGTTGCAACATCAAATAAATCATTAATTTTTAATCATTAAAATAAATCAAAGTCAACATATAAAAGGTTTACCTCACCTAATTGAATGAAGTCAATTGCGGGCCGACTTTTAACCAAACAAACATTTTAGCATAGCAAAACTAATCAAGCGCTTAGTTAGACTAATTACAATGACCACTCTTTGTTGAAATTGTTAAAATACAACATCAAAATCATTGATTATAAAACCAGAATATTACCCAACACAATAATCATATTTTAATTTAAAAAAAGAATGAATTTATTTGTATTCTTAATATTTATTTTATAGCAAAAGAAATATAATATTTTAAATTTTTGGATTGAACTATTATAGCTAAAGACAATTGAAAATTAAAGCTGTATACAAATTTTGTTTGTTGAATCCGCAATACAATTTGATTTTATTTTTGTAAAGAAAAGTTCGTTGTTAAAATAGCGTCATGCAAGAAGGGAGTTCTTTGAAATATTTTGTAGTTTTACCATAATTATACCTTTCACCTTGGAAAGGAGGGTATATTAACTTTGTTATTCAGTTTATAATATCCCTAGGTTAGGACACGCGGTTGCCTTTTTGGTAACCGCTCCACTCGGAGACCTGCTGGTCCATTGTGTTCATCCTAATAGGAAATTGGAAAAAAGAAGAATAGGGGGAAAAAGTAAGGTATTAGAGGTTTTAAAATATAACTATGAGGGTGATCCACGACTAGAGGTCTTTGCCGTATCGTCTTTAGCCACTTAAATATTCTGGTTAATTGAAGATTTACTGTAGGGTCAGTGTTAGAGAACGAAGACAAATCATGTGACACTCGTTCCCCACCAACCTGTGTCTCACGTTAATGAGTAGTGGACAATGACAGATCAGATGTTCGATCACCTCAATTTCTTCTTCGTCCTAACATATTCTACAGTAATCAATGTCATCGCTGCCCCATTTCGAGGTTATTGCCCTCACCTTGCAACACTGGCCCCAGCGACTTTGTTCTCTTCTACGGGAGTGTGGGCCAAATTCTTTTGGAGATGTTGCATCCCCTTTCGTCCAGCCATTTTTGTTGAATTTTTGCCACCTTTTTTCGCGTATTTGTCTAATGGGTTCTAGCTCGTGTGGCGAAACATTGTACGTATAGGTCCACATTTTCCTATCACGCACATATAACCGATATTCGGTATTTTGATAATCCTAGTCATTTTCCCACCAAATTGTTTCAAATTGGATAATTAAGAAGATTTGGTAGATAACATTCTTTAAAGTATAAAATTTCCTGTATAGGTTCCCGTTTTTGTATGGCCCCCACATAACGGCCTCAGCCACTTAATGTTTTTTTTTGATAAGTTTAACTGCATTATCCAAATGGTCTTACTTATATATGAAGTTTAAAGTGAAACACGCTTGAATTCAGATAATTTTATATAAACATGTTTCCTTTACCCAAAGGTGGGTGGAGGGTATTAAAAGTTCGGTCAGGTCGAACTTAATGTTTTTTTACTCGTTTTTCTATATTTTTGGTTATAAGTCTCTTGTTTTTTGTGCGGATATCGGGGTTTCACTTGTTTGATCTGTATAACGATTTAGCGCTTTCCTAATCGTTTGATTAAGGTGGCAATATAAGTAGATATTTAGCGGCACTTAATTAGAAACAGATGATAAAGAACTTGTTTTGCTACACTACAAACACTTAGTAAGACCTCTACAATATAATTCGTACTTCTGTTCCAATAAAAACTTTAAATGACATTCTGGGAAATCTCAAGTTCGTGTTGATTATTTTTTATATATTATAATAATATATTAATTGGTAACATTTTCATAAATACCTTTAACAAAAGTACTTAGGAAAACCTATGACACTGGTCTTAAAATTATAATTTAGAATATGAAAACATATAATTTGCAAGTCACATATTTTTCTTTTTTTTCTGTTCGGTAACTGTTAGAAATTTCAAAAAATACATAAAACATAATTATAGTAAACCCTTTAGACGTCGAAAAACACTGTACACTGTCCGACATCAGACTGAGATATGTACATATATGTACTTGTTATCTAATCTAAATTATATTAATTTTTAAATAAATTAAACAAACAAACAAATAACTAAAGTATGTTGCCATCAACCCTTACTTGTTATTGTATAAAATTTAAAATATTTTAAACTTTACACAAAACCTATGGAACTTACATACAAACTCATGCTAATTTTTATTTCAATACAGCTATGTTTAGTATAGACTAAATTCCAAACAAATATTATTTTTAGATAAATAATTTTAAAATATAAAAGATGAAAAAACAAGTTGCATCGGCCGGGAATCGAACCCGGGCCGCCCGCGTGGCAGGCGAGCATTCTACCACTGAACCACCGATGCTTGTTGTACATTTACACTACTATTGACAGCACATGCTTTCTCATACCCAACATTATGTTCAGTGATGATGCAGCTTCCAAATAACCAGTTGTATGGCTTTCACTTTAAACTACCAGTGTTTTATAGGAGAGGGGGTTTAAATAGACGAAAGCCAGGCGCAAACATGCTCTAACTGAGAAGCTGCTACTAAAAATAAACCAATGCTTTGTACTTAGCTTTGCCATAACTTAATTAAAAAAAAAAAATTACTAAAAATAGCATCATAACAAAAACAAATTTAAGCAACAGTAAAAAACACACCACAAGAGGTCATTGAGACAACCTCCTCTACAAAGGGAATGCTTTTAACTTTTTAACACAAACCAAAAAAAATGAAAAGAAAAATTCAAACTAATTGTAATCTATGTCACAAGTATAACGCTTGTACCTTTGTGCTTCATCATTACTAATAATTGTTAACTTAATTTTCGGTAGTTTAATATTAACCTCGTTTCACCTAATATTTCAGGTTGGCTATCGGTCACTGCGTGGTAGTCATAGTATCTCAGATTTAAGTTTAGCTGGAAATTTGGATGGTTCACGTTCTGGCTTATCGGCAGCAAATCGTTATGCTAAGACGGGTAAGTTAGAATTACAAAGAGGTTTTAAAGATAGAAATTTATTTGCCTAATTGAAATGATATCAACACTGTTCTTTGCTTAAATTTTATGGATTTCAAATTGGAATTAAAAATCAGGATTTAAAATTTAGGGGGCATCTATAAACATTTATTGAAAGAAACCAGTTTTCTATCGCTTTCAAAGAAACTTATACAATATGTTAAGTTAATAAAATGATCAAAAGTATCTTCATATTTATTGAAGAGTAAGACAGTTATCCATCGTCTTGACTAAATCTTCATTAATTTCCATACGAATCGGCTTGAGATAGAATCTTGAAAAACTCGCACAATTGCCATGGAGTAATCAATATAATTTTAGAAAACGCGCAAAATGATTTAACGTTCTTTGTATCATATACACAGTTTTGTACAGGAGGCGATCGTTAGGAAAGTGCAAACTATGGAGCATACTTTTAGGCGCGAAACACTGTGGAATGTTAAAATAATTATTATTATGCTTATATCAGAGATATACATAGTGAAATATATAAACAATTGAAATAGATTGTAACAACAGGGCATTTCCAACAAATCCATAGCAATGGAAAGAATTGAAGAGGGGATAATTTTAGAAAGCAGATGTAAAGAATAAGGCAACTATAAATTAAATTTAACGTGCTGTTACGTTATGCCTTTGAAAGAATCCGGATCTTATTGAATGTTTAAACAAAAGGCTGGTGAATTTTCCCAAGGTCTTCTACCTTAACATAAAAAAACTATGAGCTGATCTAAAAAGCTCATAAGTATTTTATATTAATGTTTCTCATTTAGAAGACCTTGGGAAAACTCACTAAACTAATTCATGGACTGTAACCTACGCAAGAGCAACAATCAATTTTGTAGGCAATTAACTACAGAAAATGGATAAAATTCCGACCTTATTTAAAATAAAAAGAACTATTTCAAAAGAAGTTGTTTGATATCATTTCTTAGGAAGTACTTTCGCATTTATAATAGACAAATTGTTTAAGCGTAACCGTTTTAACATATATTAAGCTAATAATATATTTTAAAACTCATTTTCCACTCGTTTGTGTCTCTCTTTTTTGTCTCCAAATATCTCAATCTCTTTTTGTATCTTAAAAACATGCCATCCTTGTAATTGTAACAAAAACCAACCCTCTATGTAATGTAATTCTTTTTTGCTAATATATTATTGTATGCTTGATGATTTCGATTGATTACTAATATAAAGCTTTTGATCCCACACATAATAACGAAAATAAACCCCACACACAGTTTGTTAGCCAATCTAATGATGTGGTGGGCAGTGGTGAGAGATCACCTCGGCTGCAGCCACCATCCACGCCACCAACGAATTATTCACCCATACAGTTGATGCCTCCACAACAGCATTTCTTCAATTGCGCTGCTCCGAAATCAGTGCTCCAACAAAATTGTCAAGCAATGCGTCAGGTGCAACAGCAATACCCACCCTATCCACATCATGTAGGTGTTCATCAGATACATCCCCCACCGGGGGTACCTTTTATGGGGCCCACCACACAAAAAGTGCAAGTGCAGCAGCAACAAAAACTGCCGACGGCACAGCAACAGAATAAAACATTTTCTAGTTCCACATTACCGGCCAGTGGTCAGGTTCGTGTAAAGCGCAATCCCAATGGCAATACACGACGCACACCCAGCATATTGAAACATTACAAATCATGCCCCGTCTCACCCGTCCATGAGGAAGTTGAATGGTCTTCGGATAACAAATCGATTATCATTACGGAACCCAAACGTCATTCAGTCTATGCTGATGATGCTCGCACAATACTGGACATGATCCAGGCTGATACTGAAAAGATGATAGAGGAAATTACCAGGAAATATGGTGATCTTGATGATATAGGTGTCGATGTGTATGATCCGGTTTCAGGCACTCGACACTCTCAGATAGTTGCTTCCAAATCAGTTCCTGAAAATCTTGCTGCACATCGTGGCTATTTGCCTATGGGCAGGAAAAATGATTTTGGATTTTCACCTGAGGGCTCCACAAGTCCTCGTATGGTTAGACAGCCATATGTGCCGCTGGCTCCCAAACACTCATTCTCCGAATTTTATGTCTATCAGGAAATTTATCAATGCGAACGCAAGGTATCACTGTCGGACATTTTGCAAGACAACCCTGAACAGATGGCCGAAGCAAGGCGTTTGGAGGAGGCCAGATTTTTGGAAACTCAACGCCATTCCAGTGCTTCATTCTTCTTAACCTCAAATAATCATTTTGCCACCGACAGAAGTCAAGAATCATTGTTATCCGAAGAATTCCTCGATGACGGCAGCTATTGTAATAGCATGGAAAGTATTCTATCAGATGAAAGTGATTGTAAAAGTGCTCCCCTAGAGCAGCAGCAGGTCGTACCCAAACATCCGGGCTTACGCAATTTCATTATTCATGGTCCCACATCAACTATAGCAGCAGCCCAAATGGTTTCCAAGTCATATGGCTCCAGTCCCAATGCCTATGGCAGCTTTGATTATTACATGCAGCAGCGTCACCTACATGCAACCGCACCATCAAATGTCTCACCCTATGAAAGTTTCGATGTTTCTAGCTATAATCTGGAGAAAATACAAACAACAAATGACAGGAAAAATGTACCACCAAAACCTATATCAACCTCAAAAACATATCCTAAATTAGCTGAGCCGTCCTCATTGGTTCAGCGAAATCCGCAACAACAATCATTTTCTTCTTCATCCAAGGTTTCAGACGATATACCCACATTAAAGTGTAAAAATCAACAGTATTCTTCGGGCGTAAGCAAGAGCATTAGCTCGGACTTTGCCCAAACACGTTGGCAGAGAAACACAAATCCCATACAAACGGAAAAGGCCTACAATGAGAAACTATTTCAAAAGAAACCAGTCAAACAAAAGCCACCCGTTCCTGTTAAGCCGGAAAATCTCAAATCGACCCTAACTTCTACGGTGGAATCCGCCACGAAGCTTCAGGTCAAAGAACCGCTCAAAAAGTCATGTTCCTTTGAGGTAAACGCCGATGTGTTGAAATGCAACTCCCGTACGGCCAGTGTGGTTAGGAAATTCGAAAGGAATTTGCAAAAGTTCGAAAGAGAGAAACAGGCAGAGCTACAGGCAAAGAAGAAACAAGGTAGCAATATGAGGCCGTCGGTAAGTTCGGGAGCTTTGGCTGGTCAGAGTTGTTTGAAAAAGGTTTCCAAATTTGACAACTCTCCCACACGGCGGGCCACATCAATGCGCCAGAAGGAGAGACCAAAGATTTCGGTGCGTTTCAACACCGTGTCGCAAATCAAATATACTCCAAGCAATAAAAGGAACAATGGTAATGGATGTGGAAGTACCACCACCACATGCCCTCTGAATGATATTAATCTCAATGTGTCACCCTCGGCAGGATCAAGTCTGCCCACAGACTATGGGGAGAAGACATTCGAAATGTTTATATCAGAGAATGGCAATGATGAGCATGACAACATGACCATGGATAGCCTGAAATTGTACACAAAACCAGGCCTCCAGCAGGTCGTGGATGAAATCAAACATGAACGAGAAAAAAGAGACTCGAAACATAAGAAAAACTTGGCCAATACTGAAATTACTCAAAATCCCCACAGTCCCACAGACGCCTCTACCAGCAACCAATGCAAAAATATTGCCAAGAAAATTGATATTATTGAAAAATTGATAGCCATGGAGGAGCGGAAATTCGAGCAAATACGTTTGGCCACTGAATCACGAATGCGACCCTTCGAATGCAACACCAAACAAAGGGGTTATGTTAAATCACTAACCATGAATTTTGACATGCTAGCCAAAGGTATCGAAAAGGATATTGAAAATGAACAGAGACGTATTTTGGCAGATAATTCAGATGCCGATTTATGCGCCTATGCGCGTCACATCAAAAGGAATGTGAGTCTGCCGGACGTTTTAGAAAGCACTGAAACCTATGCACTGAATAAGAAACTAATGGAACAACAGCAACGTGTCCAACTTGATTGTGATGGTGTTGAAGTGGAATTGGCCAGGGAGGTGAAGGCCGATTCAGATGTCGACAACGAGGATGAGAAAGAGGATGAAAGTGAAAAAGCCTCTATGGAAAATGTAGAGAAATTGCTCGAAGGTTTGCCTCTTTCCCGTTCGTATTGCTGTGATTTTGGCACCATTGATTTTTGTTGTTATTATCATTGGAATTTCCTTTGAGCACCACCTTTTTGTTGGTATTGTTTTTCCATGTTTTACAATGAAGTCATATAATCACTCTTTTTTTTAGTTGAAGTCATACATAAACATTTTTCCTTAGTTTTTCATCCATCATAAAGTATAATTTTGAATTAGTTGTACAAGAATTTATTTTGCATTTTCTTTTAACAATTTTTCATTTGCAGGCAATCCCAAGAATTTGAATCCCATGCCAGTCGATGATTCGTCGTCCTCCATCCGAAGGGCATGTTCCCTTAGTGATTTACACATGGGCAATATGGGTAAAGGTTTGTTTATTCTAACAGTTTGCTATTTATAACAACATAACATAATTAATGTTACTGTTTTCAGCAGGCAAATCAACCAGTTCTTCCCAAAAAACGGGTGCTGCTCACCGCAACAGCTCTGCCACCCGTTCAGCCAGTAAACGTAATAGTCTGCAAATAAAAGGTTCTTCCACTAATTTAAGTGCAAATGCTTCAATGGGTGTACTCAATCAGGTATGTCGAAATAAATTATAATTCGTTCATTTTTAATTCTCAATTTTATATTTTTGTAGAGCGATTCAGAAACTGAAAGTAACAGCCGGGGTCGATCAGGTTCAAGTGGACAAAGCCGAACAAATGGACCCACGGGTAAGTTTTTTTGTATGTAATCCGCAAGAAAGAAATTTTAAACAACATGTTTTATGTTTTTAGCTGCCAATCGTTCGTATAATTCCAAAAATACGAATGGCAACAATAACCGTCGCAAGGGTAACCTACAAACAAGTTTTAATAATGGTAAGTATTTTATATATCATTAATTTATAGACAAGTTAGGGCGCAATAGGGTAGGATAATCTTAACATGTGGGAGTTACCATACTCCAACCAGACCACCCATCTCGCCGGGTAAAGAGTCTAGGAGGTCCTGTATTGAAACTAGCAGTTAAAACAACACAAAATGGTGTCATAGTTTTCTCTAACGGTGATGTAGTTAATTGAGACTTGTTTCAGTGTTTAAATATCGGTACACTTGATATTTGGAACTTGCAGACCTTCCTTTTGCAAGAGGTAGCAACAAAAGATCCAAATCATTTTTGTATATTAAACCTGACCTTTGGCATTGCATTGTCACCCAAATTTTTGCATGATATCTTCACTCATCATTGTCATCCAACTTTTGATATGATATCCTCACTAAATCTTTGGTGTTTTAACCTAACCTTTAACGTAGTATCTTCACTATTGCTACTGGATATTTAGCATACTTACATATGTTTATAAATAAAAACAAAAAATATTGGAAAACGATCGGGTGTTTCATCAGAACACAGGCGTTTCTGCGAACAATTTGGACATGGAAATCGAGGAAGAAGATGAGGACAAACATTTTTTATACCCACTAGCCATATGGCTAGAGAGCGTATATATAATTTGATACGGCCAAAACGTGCCTCATCGAAATAACGGTTTTAGACCCCATCCGTTTTAGGCTATTTGGAATCGATCTAACGATGTTCGTCTGGGTGGTGTGCACGATAACTCTCGAAAGGAGTATCCCATTTGTTCCAAACTTGGTACAACGTAATATTATTGTCAAATTTAAATCGAGTTCGGAGATGGGCCATATCGATCCACTCCATCAAGTACCTCTCCCACAAAGGGCCAACAATTTGAATAATGATAACTCTTATAAAATGTGTTGTAAGTGTCCGATTATCTTCAAATTACACACATCACAATATTTTTATTAACTCTGGTGTGAAAATGGGATATATCGGTTCACTCATTTGATACCTTCGCCACAAAGGATCAACATTTTTAGTAATCATGAAGCTTATAAAACGCAATATTAACAACCGATCCCATTCAGACTTGGCAAATCTCAATATTTCCATCAACACAAGATCTGTTTAAACTTTAAAGTTGGTAGAGATCGGACCATTTCTACGGGTACGTCCCCCACATAGGGTTCAAGATTTTTAAAAACAAAACGTTAAAAGTGAGCGAATTAAACATCCAATTCTCTTCAAATTTCACACACACAAATATTTTTCCTAACACAAGATCTGTTGTAAAGATGACATATATCTACACCTTCTGGTAACTCACCCACAAAGGGTCACAATTTCCAATATATCTGTCATGACTTGGGAAACAAGTAGGCGATTCTTTACGACTTGCCATATCTAAATATTTCTCTTAACCAGAAATCTGATATGAATATGTATTTTAACGAAATTTATGATTTCGCATAAAATTGGATGTTAATGTTCGCTTTTCTTCAAATTTTTCACATACCTATATTTTATCTGTATTAGATGAAGTATGAAATGGAATACTTCGGTCCGCTATATCTGTTATCTCACGCATATTTCTACATTTTCCAATTCACATATCTCATATAAAATATAAGAAGTAGTCGATATAGACAAAAACTGGCACGTTGCAATTGATTGCAATGAGAGATTTTTTGAAGCAACTATCGTAATATCTTATTGATTGTTTAACAGTCTCATCAATCGGTGTATCAATCGACTAGGATCCGCCTTGAGCCACTTCATTCCCTACTCTATTGCTATGTCCTGGAACCAAACAAAGCTTAATGAGCCCACTTGTTTCGAGGAGGACTTTCTTCCAGTCAAGAGTAACTCTCGATTCAATGGCACTTGACTTGATAGCTTTAAGTTCATATATAGTCACTGGCCCTGTTACACCAGCGCCGGACAGGTTACAGAAACTCCAAATCTAGAAAGTGCCATAACGGCATTTTCGAGTTAGAATTTTCACAGTCAATAACTTTTGTAACTTATGCTCTTTTACTTTAGTAATGTATGCTCTTATATTTGTTTGTGGAGGCTTGGATGGTATTTGAATCATTTTCTTATCACAAAAATGGTAATTGCTTCAGTTTTCGATATAACAATACATAGTTTCTAAGTTGTAATTAAGTATGTGAACGATAAATATCTTTCCTATGACTTACCCTTATCTAATGGCTCACATTTGCAACTACTTTGAAAAACATTGAGATTCAATGTAGTTTGCTATATTGCTATTCCCTTAATTTATCGTACTGTTGTTAAACACTATTTCTTTTACATATCTCAATTAAAAGGACACCATCAATTATGTACGAGTGTTGGACTATTGGCTATGTCATGGCATGAGCTATTAATTTTTTCGCACAAATATGCTATTGACAAAGGACTCTTATTTCTCGAAATGCAGCAATTCACCCCTACGTTTTACATTTCCTTCACTTCGGCCCATTCAACAAATAATTTCTTCCTTTGTAATACACTTCTTCAGCTGAGTTTTCAAATATTCGCATTTTGATAATTAAAGCATAATTTTGTTAACGACTAAAACATTATGGGCCTTAATGAATAAAAGTTGCGTGTCCATCCTTTTTATTATTTAACCTTGGACTCTTTTCGAGGAAGTATTTAGCTCCTTACTTGATTTTTGTAAAAACAACAGCGCTTCTTTTTCACGCTGTTATCCCAAAATATGTTTATCGTTCTTAAAATAAACAGTTAATTATCATATATCAATTTTTTAAACTTCACTTTATCTTTTATATCTCTTATATTTCACTTTTAATCAAAACATTAATATTTCTCTCAACAGCACCACCCCAAGATGATTCCAGCTCTGAAGAAACCCAGGGCAGTTCTTCCAATGCAAAACCAATTGTGCCACCACGTCCTCGTAATTTAGCTTTTGATCACAAAAATAAAGTTATTAACAGTCCAAATGTGGTTAAGACTCGAGGAGTTTTAGAAGCTGTCGAATTTGCCGATTTAGACAGCAATGGAGATCGTAAGTTGTGTTTAATTTAGAGAAAATATTGATTTTCATTAATTTTTATATTTTTCAGCAAAATCTCAAGTTCATAATGTTATTAACAAACTATATACAACAACACAAACCGTTTTACAATTGCATGCAAATCTCAGAAATTGTGAGGATTCTTTAATGCTGAAAGAATTGGAGAATGCTGTGATTATGACACAAAATATGTTAACAAATATAACACAAAATAAGTAAGTATTTGGTATATATGTCCAATGTTGTTATTTAATATTGATTTTCTTTTTCGCCTTCTTTCAGAAATGATAAAAATCAACAACCAAATCATGCGTACTCTAGCACAGAGCAGGCAAATTTAGAAAATGGCGACTATATGATGATGGTGAATAATTGCGCCGATCTATTAAGTAATTTCCGTATGAAGCACAAACCCGATGACTGTGAGAAAAACTCCTAGTGTGTAAATTGAAAAAAAAGAGAAACGTAAAAAACAAAACACAGAAGTGAAACTGAACTTAAACTACAAAACTAAAAAGAAAACAAAAGGGAAATGCGAAAATAAAAGTAAAATCATAATTAATTTAATATTCATAATTATAATTAATTTAAATTAAAATTACAACTAAACAATTATTAAGATAAATTTACATTTAAATACAAATATTAGTAGCTAACAATGTTTTTTTATTATATATTATAATTAATATTAATATAAATATGATAATTATATTATTAATATTATTATTAATGAATTAATTAAATGTAAAATATTTAACTAAAACAAAATACACATCTATATTATTTAACAAATGAAATTACAATTGTAATATTTTTTTCTCGTTTTTGTAAGGCAATGTGGTTTGATGATAAAATATTGCAATATAAACATTTTTAATTTACCCGAGAAACGAAAATCGAATTTTTCGTTTAATTATTTGTTAGCACAAGGGGCTGAAATGGAATAGAAAAAATATTTTCGTCACTTTAAAATTATATATGATATTTAATGCTTCGTACATCAAATCAAACACTTTTTTTTCTAAAATAGGCATGTTTTTGTTTGAAGACTTCATAAACAAAATTAAGTTTGGCATCAACAAACTGCATTTCAGCCCCTGTGTTTAATCAAAGATGCAGCCAAATATTCCATGGTTTGCAAATCTTTTTGTGTATTTCCACACCGCAAATATGGCATTTTTTAAAATAATATATTTTTTATTTTTTTTTTTTTTTTTCATTATTGTTTTATTTCGATGTAGAAAACAAAAAGACGAAGATAAAGAACTTGAGACGCTTGTTTTGTTATAAACTTATTTGTTATGTTACGTTTTTTGATTCTTTGCGTGTTTTGGGCGTGATTACATCTACTCTAGCTTTTAGTCTAATTTGATAATAATTTTTGTCCATGTGTCTTGTTTCTTTGCTAATCAAATAATCAAAACCAATCACAACAATATTAAGTTAATCCTAAATAAAATTTATATAATTCACAAAATCATAATTTTCAATGAAATATTATTGTGTTAAGAGCTTAGATATGAAAGTTTGTTTTTAATTACATTTATAAACCACACACTTATACACAACTAAATACTTACATCCTAATTTAGCTTTAATTTGAAATTGAAGAAAAGAAAATAATAATAATAAATATTTAAAACTATATTTGATATTGGAAAATAAAATCATATAATTTAAATACGAAAAGAATAATAATACTAAAAATGCTATACCACAATATTTGTTTTTGTTGTTTCATTGTGTTCATGTATAACTGTGATTTGTTTTCATGGCAAATGCAGAGCTTTATTTGTTTTTAAGCCTAAATTTTTAAACTACTATGGAGTTGATTGATTGATATGACTCAAATAGAATTTTCGATGTAGCCTAATTAATTTCAACAAGAAAAAAAAACAAGTACGTTCGACTGGGCCGAACTTTTCCCTCCACCATTTGGAAGGAACTTGAAAATTTCAAAAAAATCCGATAACTACCACTTAAATGAAACCGGTTATATTGGGACTACGAAGACGTGGACCTGCATACGAAATGTTGCCATAGGCTGTAGTATCCATTAGGAACTTTAAATACGAGTTTTGAAACAATTTCAGTCGCTAAATGTCGCTAAAATCATGAAAAACCGAATATCGGGAGATACTGTTATATAAGGTTTATATAGGGGCTATATAGGCATGGACCTGCATACGACATTTTTTATCATAGATTGTAGTACGCATTACGAAGTTCGACTACGAAAATTTGAAATTTAAAATACGAAATTTGAAACGATTCCGGAGAATAAAGTTGCTGAAATCATCCAAATACCGAATATCGGGAGCTACAAACTTTTTTTTCATAGCCTGTAGTATCCATTACGAACTTCAAATACGAAATGTGAAATAATTCCGGTAAATAATGTCGCTAAAATCATGAATATCGAGAGGTATCTTTATATGGGGGCTATCCGTGGACCGACATGGCTCATTTACAAACTTAATCTGCCTGCTGGGAAAATTTGCATTTATGCAAAATTTTAGCTTTCTATCTCAATTCATTCGACACACATCCAGACAGACGGACATCGCTTAGTTTTACGCTGATTCACTTTACGCTTTGTAGGGTCTATCTTGAATATTTCGGGGAGTTAAAAACGGAACGACTAAGCTAATATACCCTCCGTAGAACGGTGGAGGGTATAACAACTATGCCACATTTATTAATTAAGGGGGACAGAGACCATAAATCATAAATTTAAAATATGACGCTACAGAAAGGCTACAGGAATATTAAGGTAAATAAGCAGATACTCAATCGAAACCTTTTGAAAAACTGACTTGCATTTACAACAAAGAAAATATCTTAAGGGCTGATAATTGAATTGGGCCAAAACTACCCTCGCTTGTCTATATCGCCGACGTTTTTCAGTTGCAAAGGAAGATGGGTATTAATACTATAAAGATTTATAACATCAATGAATATATTTGACATATTCTCCCTTTAATCCCCATTACGCCATCGTCATCTCAGCCTTCCAATGTCTTTTAATCAAGACCACTGTGAGCTTCTTCCCTTAGTATTTAGGGAGAGTAAGATATTGATGCTTCCACTCCAGTAGCATACTTCGCATGTTCTCCAGAGAAAGCACTTTAAATTCTGCATATGTTATAATTTAGTGGTGTATTGAAATTGATTTAGGGGCCAAGTTCTCAACGGCCGGATCAACGTTTTTACACCCTTCACAAGTAAAGTAATGAGTTACTAGTTGTGCAAATATAAATGTGGTGAAATTTTCCAAATACCTAAAATCCGAGGGCATTGCACTGCACTACATAAAATTGGGTGGAACTATAGAAGAATAGAAGCCTATTGTTAGGGAAGATGATCGCAAAACAATATGGGGATAAAATGGACCAAAAACTGATTTTATTCACTGTTCACAATACGGTCTATAATTGTCGAAGTGTAATTTTGCATCTACGTTTTCGTATACGCCCATATCACGGTACCTCCCGATATTCGGTTTTTTAGCATAATGTTCTACCCGAATTGTTTAAAATTTGGTACTTATATATATAGCGCCCATATAACGATACCTCCATATATTCGGTATTCTGATGAATATAGCCTTTTTTCTAACAGAATTGTTTTAAATTCGGTACTTAGGGCACTGCCTCCTGTGGCAGATCATTTTATATATAAGTTCACTTTTTCCTATAGACCCCATTTTTCGTTATTTCGGAATTCTTATGAATTTACAAACATTTTAAAGCGGAATCGTTTAAAAATCGGTGTGTAGAGTTTGACTGAAGACTGCTGGAACCGGTCCATTATTTCTCGTATCAACTCCAAATATTTTGTATTTAGTAAATTTCGGCCGCATTTTTTAAGAGAATTCGTTAAAATTTGGCATTTAAAACTCGCAATAGATAGATCACTGTAGCAGGAAATCAGGACCATATACTTTACATTATTTTAAAGACTTTTTATCAACCGATTTCATTGGCAAAATGGAAGTGGACCAAATATTCAATACCGAATCCGTGGAGGGTATTAAGTGGGTATTTTATACCCTCCACCATAGTATGGAGGGTATATTAAGTTTGTCATTCCGTTTATAACATCTCGAAATATACATTTTAGACCCCACGAAGGATATAAATTCTTGATCAACATAAAATTCTATGTCGATTTAGCAATGTCCATCCACGTCTTCGTATAGCCCCCAAATAACGGTATCTCCCGATATTCGGTATTTTGATGATTTTAGCGACATTATTTACCGGAATTGTTTCAAATTTAGTAGTTGAATTTCGTAATGAATACTACAGCCCATGACAGAAAATTATCTGTGCAGGTCCACGTCTTCGAATAGCCCCCATATAACGGTTCACCCCAATATTCGGTATTTTGATGATTTTATCGACATTATTTACCGGAATTGTTTCAAATTTCGCATTTAAATTCGTAATAGATACTACAGCATAAAACAGAAAATGGGCAATGTAGGTCCACTTCTTCGTATAGCCCCCATATAACGGTACCTCAGGATATCCGGTTCTTTGTTGATTTTAGCGACATTATTTACCGGAATTGTTTCAAATTTAGTATTTGAAGTTCGTAATAGATACTACTGCTTAAGACAGAAAATAGGTCATGTAGGTCCACGTCTTCGTATAGCCCCCATATAACGGTACCTCCCGATATTGGGTATTTTGATGATTAATTTAGCGAAATTATTTACTGGAATTGTTTCAAATTTAGTAGTTGAATTTCGTAATGAATACTACAGCCCATGACAGAAAATTATCTGTGCAGGTCCACGTCTTCGAATAGACCCCATACAACGGTACACCCCAATATTCGGTATTTTGATGATTTTATCGACATTTTTTACCGGAATTGTTTCAAATTTCGCATTTGAAATTCGTAATGGATACTACAGCCTAGGACAGAAAATTGTCTGTGCGGGTTTACGTCTTCGTATAGGCCCCATATAACGGAACCCCCGATATTCGGTATTTTGATGATTTTAACGACATTATTTACCGGAATCATTTCACATTTTGTATTTGTAGTTCGTAATGGATTCTTCAGCCTATGAAAGAATATTGTCTGTGCAGGTCCACGTTTTATAACCCCCATGGTACCTCCTTTTAATGATTTTAGCTACATTATAAACAGATTTTTTTTCAAGTTTCGCATTTGAATATTGTAGCTTGTGACAAAAGTTGCCTATGCAGGTACCGTCGTCTTATAGACCCAAATATGCAGCTACATTCGGTATTTTTAAAATTTTAACAGAATTTTTTAACGGATTTTATTTTTTTGAAAATTGCCAAATTTTTACCCAATGGTGGAGGGTATTCCAAGTTCGGCCCGGCCGAACTTACAGCCTTTTTACTTGTTACTTATTAATATAGAAAGTCACTTTCTGAGGAAATCGCTAGTACATTAAATTGACACATCTGACCTTTAAATCGATGCTGATTTCGTAGACTTATATAGTCTGAAATCGGAGACATTGCAAAATATACACTCGAAACTAAACTTTCAAATGGCCACGAGAGTGGACGTAAACATAAGAGAATTACCACGGAATTGGTCATTGTCTTGTGGTTCTGGTCATGTACGAACTGAATAATGTAATAATGACAACAATAACTTGAAAACAGGAATTTATTACATATAGAGCAAAGCACCGATAAATGTATACAGAAAAAAGTGCTCTCTCTGGGATGAATAAAAATATGCAACAAAATCTGGAAAAATCACATTTGTTTTACCAAGAGCATACGTTTAATTGCCTTAGAAGAATCATTCCTAGGAGATTTATATGTTCTAGAAAGTTGTGTTTTGAGATTACAGTTGGAAATTTGCCTTGAATTTTTAAATAGCAATACGGACCGGAATACGATTTGTTTTGTTTAAAAAACAACTGATTATTGAACAGCTGATGTTGCAGGGGAAATTTTCACCTTTTTTCAACACCTTCCAATTAAAATTTGTACAAATTATTAGGTACACGAACACTCCTAGCGTTATTAATGAGTTGCCTTCGTTTAGTAGAAACTATAATTAAGAACTACACAGTGTAGTGTAAAATTTACAGAATATTCCAAATTTGGCTCTTGACCTTAAATTATCGTTTAGTTGAAATGCAATTTTTTTAAAATGGAAATAAATGTCAAATAAGCAATTCTAGTAGGTAAATTTGTTTTGCCAAAATATTAAAGTATAGCCTATTAATATCAAAAAATTAGGAGTATTATATTAAAAATTCCAAAAAGCTTTTATTGATAAGTATTTTCAATTTTATCTACTCACATAAATTAAAAAAAAAAACTAAATTCACAAAAGAACTTGTATTTACTTAATCATTAATAAAAAAAATACAAAACATGGAATGTAATGAATATTATACATAAAAATATCTATAACATAAGAATAAGGAGTGAAAAATATTTTAAATTGTATTCAAAAAGAACCTCTACTCAACTATTAATTTTATCAAAACCAAAACAGAATTAATAAATAATAAATAAGTTTTTGCAAGAATACATATTTGTTTGTTTGCTTTACATTCAAACCAGTAAAGAAAGGTAAACATTCGGGCGGGACAACTTGATGATAATCTGAACCACAACGTGTATTTAGTACAACTACATATAACAAATAAATAACAATATAGGAAATTTATGTAAAGTAGATTCTATCAACTATGAACCATTTTTGAATGTT